CGTGCATAGCTTTTAGGAGGCTTTCAGAGTGCTCCTGCGGGCTGGGGAGGGCAGAAATGAGCAAAAATGGGTTGGTTTTGCTCAATTTTGCCCCCCCCCCCAGCCACCAGGAGCATTTTATAAGCCTCCTAAAGGCTATTTGTGCCCCTTTTTAAAAAACAAATGGGCCCGTTTTTGCAAAAAACAGGCTGTTTTGGAGTGGTTTGCAGAGCGCAAAATTTTTTCGCTCAGTGTGGTCCAGGCACCCAAAAGATTGGGCACCCATCATCTTGATTGTAATGGGACACATATACAGGTAAAGACAAATTTCGGAAGACGTTGTACCTAATCTCCAAGCTTTGCAGCTATTCCAATATTTTGTTTCTTGGGATCTTTGTGAATGGATATTAGAATTCCCTCATGATCCTAATGAGAGCATACCTTGAATTTTTCCAAGGCTCCCCGTTCATGGTTGTTGGACCTGTTCTTCAAAATCAGTACCTCCGTTTTACCCAGCTCGCCGTAAACCTGCAGGAAGACTTTGGCGTTGGTGCCTGCATTCCGCACATCTCCAGTAACAGTGCAGACCTCGTAGTTGATCACTTGGTTAAAGCAGGAGAGAGAGAGAAACGAAGGCGGGAATAATTAAAACGGTGCGCAGAAATCCAGAGCCTGAGTTCAAAGTCTTTTCACAATTAAAAAGGTTTCTATCTTCCACCCATCTCCCTTCTCCACTTGCTTTAGGCACCCCCCAATTCTTCTAGTTTGTTCAGAGAGCAGACCAGACATCAAGCAGAAGAAAAATTAACATTCAAAGGCGAAAAGATGTTCTGGAGTTTGCAGGATTCCAAACCCCAGCATCTTTGGCCTGTACGAGACGACCAGACCGAGCCAGAGGGAGGTGTCAAACATGTCATCAGTCTCGAGTCCTTCATAACCATAGGAGAGCTACCGTATTTTCCGGACTATAAGACGCACCATGATTTTGAAGAAGTACACTTTTAAAAAAAAGGTTTTGCACTCTGTAGGCCTCCCAAACCCTCTGCACACCTCGTTTTCTGCAGAGATTTGGGAGGCTTGCAGAGTGCTCTTGAGGGCTGGGGGTGGGGGGAGCAAAACGAGCAAAAAAAGGGCATGCAGAGCTTTGGAAGGCTTGCAGGGTGCTCCTGAGGGCTTGGAGGGGGGCAAAAACGGCTTGTTTATTGCTCTTTTTGTGCCCTCCCCAGCCCCCAGGAGCACTTTGCAAGCCTCCCAAACTCTCTGCACGTCCATTTTTGCAAAGGGGGTGGGGTTTTGGGAGGCCAAAGATGCTGTATTCAGTGTATAAGACGCACCCAGATTTTCACCCTCTTTTTTG